CATTTCTATATATTTCTTTGGTAAATCAACAAAGTTTGAGATTTAAAAAGACAGAAAACCCACATTTCAATATGCTAAGTATTTGGTGACATCAATGAAGTCTATTCAAGACCAACTGATTCTCTTTCAGGTCTTCAATCAGAGGTGGGCTTTTTCAGATGCAACTAGAAACACTGGTCACTTGTTTGCAGAGAACCAGATGTGTGCAATCTAAGTTATCACTTCATCCTACCAGATTAGTATCCACCATCAATATGTCTTTTGGAAGTGAAAAAATAATTTGGCTGGGCATGGTGGCTCAAGTCTGTAATCCCAGCACTTTGGGAGGCTGAGGCAGGCGGGATCACCTGAGGTCAGGAATTCCAGACCAGCCTGGCCAACACAGTGAAACCCCGTCTCTACTAAAAATTAGCCAGGTGTGGTGGCAGGTGCCTGTAATTCCAGCTACTTAGGAGGCTGAATCATAATTGCTTGAACCTGGGAGGTAGAGGTTGCAGTTATCCGAGATTGTGCCACTGCACTGCAGCCTGGGGGACAGAGCTAAACTCCCTCTCAAAAAAAAAAAAAAAAAAAAAGAAAAGAAAAGAAAAGAATTTGTATGTTAGCCTAATTAAATATGCAAAGTGGCTGGGCATGGTGGATCACCTGAGGTCAGGAGTTCAAAACCAGCCATGCCAACATGGTGAAACCCTGTCTCTACTAAAAATACAAAAAAATTAGCCAGGCATGGTGGCAAGTGCCTGTAATCCCAGCTACTAGGGAGGGCTGACGCAGGAGCCTCGCTTGAGCCTGTGATTTGGAGGTTGCAGTGAGCTGAGATCATGCCACTCCACTCCAGCCTGGGCAACAGAAGAGCAAGACTCCACCTCAAAGAAGAAACAAAAATGAATAAATAAATATGCAAAGTGAGCCAATATTACATGTTTTGAGCAAATTAAGCAAAAGCCAGCTTTTCTTTTAAAAAGAACCTCTATGGAAAACTCACATTTTTGAAAATAACAAATTACATATATTTGCTCTCTCCCATTTTACAGCTTTTAAGAGAAACCACTTGCAGGCCAAATACAAATCTACCTGTGTGCACATATCACAATAATTTATAAGATAATTATAAATTATTATATCTATATATCTTATATATTAATAAAATCTTGCTTACACACAGTATCCCAAGTACACTTGAGAAAAATGTCCCAATTACAATACTGACGAGGTTCTATCCTCAATACAAACTTCTCTTCATTTTCTACTTACATTTTTTTCAGGCAAGTCAAAGAAAAGGCTTCCTAAATTCACCACTGACAGATTTCTTCAGATGTCCTAATAAAGCACTTATAATTAAGATAATAGTCTAAGGCCGCTAAAGCAACTACAATTTATAAGGAACATCACAAGCGGCTAAAATGGTGTAATTTAAAATCTTTCTCATCACCCATTTCCGTCAAAGTAAAAAGTGCTATGGGTAATTATCTTGTTTATCTGTATATTATCTAAATTAAGTACAGTATGTCAGCTGTCTTGGGGCAGAGGCCTTAGCTATCTCATTCACCACAGTAGACTCAGGCCTAGAATAGCACATGGTTCGTAATAGGTACTCAGTATTTGTTGAATGAATGAACATAACTGAGTAATATATAATTCATTTTTTTGAGACAGGGTCTCACTCTGACACCCAGGCTGAAGTACAGTAGCTCAATCACAGCTTATTGCAGCCTCAACCTCCCAGGCTCAAGTGACCCTCCCACCTCAGTCTCCTGAGAAGTTGGGACCACAGGCACCCACCACCACAACACTCGGCTAATTTTATTATTGTTTTTTATAGAGACAGGGTTTCACCACATTGCCTAGGCTGCTCTCCTGAGCTGAGGTGATCTGGCAGGCTCAGCCTCCCAACGTGCTGGGATTACAGATGTGAGCCATGTCTGGCTTCATTTGGTTTTTGAACTAAAAAGCATATATATACTGGTGCCCTATTATTATACATATTATATATTAACATACTGATATAGAAATAAAACCAAACAATTTAATACAACCTGGAGATCAGTAAAAAGCTACTGTTTAGGATACAGCTAGCTTAGATTAAGGTGTTGGTATTAGAGACAGTTAAAAATGAGCAAGTATTTTAGCAAACAAAAAATATTCAAACATCTCCGAGTTCAAATGTAGAAAGCTGGGTTATGTCGGTTTTTGCAATCAGTCACCTTAGTTCTTCCAAATCTATTTCCAACATAGCGATCTTTCCATTAAAAAAAACAAAAAACAAAAAACAGTTTTATTGTTCTTAAAATGGCTACCAGGAAAATAAGAATTTCATTTTCAATTATAACCAGAGCTTGGTATCACATATAAATGAAATCAGGAGATTCTCAAGCCTCTCAAACCCAATTCACCAAGTCAGCAGTGAATTTTTTCTTTTTTTCTTTTTTTTTTAAAAACGGAGTCTCACTTTGTCACCCAGGCTGGAGTACAGTGGCATGATCTCAGCTCACTGCAACCTCTACCTCCCGGGTTCAAGCAATTCTCCTGCCTCTCGGCCTCCCAGGTAGCTGGGATTACAGGGGCCTACCACCACAAAAATGGCCCACCATTTTTGTATTTTCAGTAGAGATGGGATTTCACCATGTTGGCCAGGCTGGTCTCCAACTCCTGACCTCCGGTGATCCGCCCACCTTGGCCTCCCAAAGCACAGGGATTACAGCAAATATCTTTCACTCCCTTCTCCACCTATTCGGTATCTAATTTCATTGCGAAATAAAAGGTCCCCCTCCAAACAACTCAAAAGCTCATCCCTAAGTTTCTAGATACTCATTCCAACAAAAACTCCTAAGGGAACCACCCTCAGGGACTCAGGGAAGGGCTTTTTACTCACTTGCTGCCATGTCAGCTTCAGCCTTTCATATTGCTCCTTGCCATCTGCCGAGCAATCCGAACAAGTAAACCTAAAAAAATTATCACCCTTAAGGTAACTGAGCTGTTCCCTCAGCTGACCTAGAAGAAAAGCAGAAAGTCACATCATGGGTTTATCTATAGCAGTGGTAACCCCAAGATATAATCCATTTATCACCCAGATTTTCCTTTCCCATGTTGAGTCTTCTTTTCTTGAGCAAACACGCAATAGCAAGATGGGAAAGAGGAAGGCAGTAAGAAAGACTTCTATTCTTCTAACACCAAGTATACGCCCACTAAGATCTGTAGGATCCAGTAATTTTTAGGATAAAGGTACTGGAAAATCAGGTATTGTTACTGGATTTCCCAACTGTCACATTCCTGACTCCCAGAGGCAGGTCTCTTCACACATTCTTCCAAAAAATATGAGCTTCTTTTGCATACCAGGCACTGCCCTAGGAACTGGGAATACAAAGTCCAAGACAGATAATGGTGCCTGCTCTCACAGGTTTGCACTTCCCTGAGGGCTGCATAGAAAATAGGTAATCACAACAGCACAGTGGTTCTCCACGCTCACAGTGCATCAGAATCGCCCAAGTTGTTCCTGGTTTTCTAAATATACTTGGTTCTAGACCAGATAAAATGAATCAACTTCTGAAGCAGAGCCTAGGAGCTACATTTCTGTGACACGTGAAACCACAGGAGTGGAATGTGATATGAACCACTGGGCAGTGTGAGGGTAAGTAAAAAGGGGACCCAACCTATGTTAGGGGGAGGCTTAGGATTAGAAATTGGCCAGGTGAAAAGTGGTGTCTTTGTATAAAGGGAAAATGGAGGCTGTGGAGATGCATATTCCAGAAAGGAAAAATACCTGTGCAAAGCCCTAGGAATAAGAAAGAATTGTTTGTAAAGAATGAAAAGTTCATCCTAACTGCAAAGTTCTGTGGGGATCAACAAAGCTACACTTAGGGTCCTGACCACAGAGCGGCTTAAGATTTGTCCTCACTGGACAATGGGAAAGCCACTGAGAATTCAGGCAGAACCTGGATTTAATAAGCAGAGACCACTCAGAAGCAAAAACCAGCTAACTAGTAAATTCTACATTTCCTGTGAAAATGTTACTATTAATTTGTTCACAGTAACTAAATCTGAAGTTGAACCCATTTTAAGAAAAAATTTCCCACATGCCAGAAAACGACCCACTTCACAATTACATATGTATTTCTCTGACTTGGTTACAGATTCTATCACACAAAAGCATTCCTCAGGTACATACATCTGTAAGTCTCTTGCCTAATGAGAAAATCCTGTTTTGGTACGAACCATACGATGGCTGGCAAGCCATACTCCTCGAATGCCAGGAAGCTGACCATGGAATATCTCAAAATTGGGAATGGTCACAGTGGCTCATGCCTGTAATCCCAGGATTTTGGGAGACAGGCCGATCACCTGAGGTCGGGAGTTCAAGATCAGCCTGAGCAACATGGAGAAACCCAATCTCTACTAAAAATAAAAAATTAGCCAGGCATGGTGGCGTATGCCTGTAATCCCAGTTACTTGGGAGCCTGAGGCAGGAGAATCACTTGAACCTGGGAGGCGGAGGTCACGGTGAGCCAAGATCGCACCATTGCACATTGCACTCCAGCCTGGGAAATGAGAGTGAAACTCTGTATCAAAAAAAAAAAAAAAAATTAGCCAGGTGTGGTGGCAAATTTGGAGGCTGAGGCACGAGAATCACTTGAACCCGGGAGCTGAGATTGCACCACTGCACTCCAGCCTGGGCAACAAAAGCAAAACTCCATCTCCAAGAACAACAAAAAAGAAGAAAACCTCAAGATTGGGGCAATCATGGAGTATGTATATTATCTCTTGTCAGAAGAAAAAAAGGAAAATGGGAAAAAAGACTGGTTCTAGAAAAAGAGCAAAAAACACCTTCAATGTGCTCATCTAACTTCTCTCCAGTATACAACAGCAGTTCTCCATATAAGTTAAATGTTAACAAAGTAATTTTTATAAACTTTAACACGAATTCTACACCGGGATTGGAATTTGGCCCCAAATCTCTATGATCTTATTAGAAAAATATGGCTAATTCTTTAAGTAACACAGGATTTCCAATTTTCTCATTTTTATTGAGTTACCATCAAAATTGTTAACAATGTGATAGAGGTTGACAGTAAGTTTCATTAGTACAACCTATGTTTTGTATAAATTGATATGTTTTGTATATGTTGCCTATGTTTTGTATAAATTGATAGCTGATTAGAGAATATAATTATCCTTTTATTTAGGTCTCTTTTATAGTCACATTTCTTTCACAGGTTGGAAAAACAAACCTTCACACTGGAATTGACAAATCAAAGAAATTGAGAAGCTCCTTACTGGCTGGTATCCATTTTTGGCACTTGTCACAGAAGTAGGACAGCTGCTCCTCCATCCACGATACGTCTCCTTCATCGCTGTTGAGGGAATCCCCACTCTGGTCATGTGATAAGTCCACTGATGCCTGATCCTCAGATTCCACAATCAGAAGTGTCTCTCCCTCCACTTCACCTTCCTCCAGTCCTTCTGAGGTCGACGTTCTCGTGGCTTCGTCATCATGCCGACTAATGAGACTACTCAGGTGGATGCTACTATCCATCCCTTCCTTCTCACAAGTTCAGCAGTGCTTCTCAGAAACAACCCTAAGCTCTGGACAGTGACCTTAACAGAGCTTCTACCAGGATCATAAAGACAGAGACTCTTCCAAAGAGCGTCTGCCCACACTCCTTTACTCAGATATAAGGGACACTGAAAGCTGTAATTTACAATATATGATCCACTGTCCTTTATCTGATCAAGTTTAAAAGGACAGTAACCAAAAAAAAAGATGAAGACACCACTAAGCTACTCTCCATCAACACACATACATACACTCATGTTGCCTGTCCCATTGATATTTCACATTCAAGTCGTTTTTTGAGATCCTTTTGCCAATAACATCTCTCTTTCTGCTTCAAGTTGCTTAGTCAATATAATCTGTTCTCCCAAAAGACGAATGTTTTCTTTTTTCCGATTTTGCCTCTGAACGTCTCTGATAACTCCGTCATGAAGCCTCTAAAAACGTAAGAAACAGATTTCAGTAACATCCCGAACAGGTGGTCCCCATCCTTGTGCCATTCAAATCCAAATAACAGTGTTACCAAAATACACTTAAAACTTTCAGATTCCAAATATCCAGTTACTATTTTAATTTTCTGTACAAATGTAAAATGTAATAAAGAAACCATCAAATAAATCTGGCAGTGTGTTAAATGTTATTACTAAAATGATTTCTCATATTTTAAGAAATTCCTGAGCATTTAGTACAGAGTATTTAATGGGAAATAACAGAAAAAAAAAACTGTTAAATAAAAATAAAATGTTAAATTTTATTTTATTTATTTATTGAGACAGCATCTCGTTCTGTCGCTCAGGCTGGAGTGCAGTGGCGTGATCTCAGCTCACTGCAACCTCTGCCTCCTAGGTTCAAGTGATTCTCCAGCCTCAGCCTCCCATGTAGCTGGGATTACAGTTATGCACCACTGTAAAATGTAAAACTCATACAGAATTATTAATTATATAACAGAGAGAGAAGGAAAAAAAAGAAGAATGCTACTACTAGAGGAAAAAATAAATTCCTATCAATGGTAGTTACCTTAGCAAGCACTAAAAAACCACAGAATTCCATAACACGGACCTGACACCCAAGATTAGACTTTTAAAAACATCAATTGAGTCATTACTAATAACTAACATTTTATAGTTTATTGCTCACAAAATACTCTATAAAGTTTTTAGGCCAGTCGCTCACTCCTGTAATCCCAGCACTTTAGGAGGCCAAGGCAGACAGACTGCTTAAGCTCAGAAGTTTTAGACCAGCTGGGGCAACGTGGCAAAATCCCATCTCCAGCAAAAATTAAAAAAAAAAAAAAAAAAAAAAAAATCGCAGGGCGTGGTGACGTGTGCCTGTCGTCCCAGCTACTCCAGAGGCTGAGGTGACAGGATCAAGCAAGACTCCATCTCAAAATAAATGAAGTTTATTTTTTATTTTTTGAGATGGAGTCTCACTGTGTCAGCTAGGCTGGAGTCCAATGGCACAATCTCAGCTCACTGCAATCTCCACCTTCTGAGTTCAAGACATTCCTATTCCTCAGCCTCCCAAGTAGCTGAGATCACAGGTGTGCGCCACCAGGTCTGGCTAATTCTTTTGTATTTTTAGTAGAGATGGGGTTTCACCACGTTGGCCAGGCTGGTCTCGAACTCCTGACCTAAAATGATCTGCCCACCTTGGCCTCCCAAAGTACTAGGATTACAGGCATAAGCCACCACACCCAGCCAATAGTTTTTTTTAAATAGTAGCTACATACATATGTCTGTGGGGTTTTTTCCAAATTATCTTACCTATTTTTAAAAACTCAGCTAATATAATACCTACTTGCTGGGCCTTCTCTGGGTCTACAGCTTTATTATGAAGGATCTGAAGGAGCCCTGGGACTGATATAACTCAACCGAAACCCAGCTGTCTTGAACCATGCACCCTTGGCAAGATCCCCACTGAGACAAAAATGGAGGTGCTTATTCCACTCCCCTGATCCCAGGTCTTCTTGTCCTGTTCTTTTTACACCATGACACACCAACACCCACCCTCCCAAGCCCACACCATTCACCAGAATCATTCCTTCCACACCTCCCTCCCAGATCCTACCCTTCCTTCTCAGAGATGTCATGTGTGCTTATGATCTGGCTCCCCATTCCATTATTTGCTATTGTCCTCCAGGTTTCAAGGTCTACGCTGATTGCCTCACACATCCTTCTTGTGACTCTCACTAAACTACCTTTCTAACCATAAAAGACCTCTTTATTCTTCCAACCCTATCACCTAGAACTCTGGCTCCTCATGTAGCACTGCTTAATTTTTGCTAGGTTACTGTGAGGATTAAAGATGATGTATGTAAAGTGCTTAATACGCTGCCTGGTACGTGGTAGACAGTCAGGAAACAACGGTCATTATTTAATTTCTTGCTTCCTTGAAACTTCTGATACATCCACTGTGCTTATCATTTGCCCTAGTCTTTCCTACTGCTATTAACACAATGTAAGACCCTAATGAGGAACTGGACATTAAAAAAACAAAACAAAACAGGTTATTCTGCTCAACCTTTTTTTTTTTTTTTTTTTTTTTTTTTTTTTTTTTTGAGACAGAGTTTCGCTCTTGTTGCCCAGGCTGGACTGCAATGGCGGATCTGGGCTCACCGCAACCTCCACCTGCAGGGTTCAAGCGATTCTTTTGCCTCAGCCTCCCCAGTACCTGGGATGACAGGCATGCCCCACCACACCCGGCTAATTTTGGATGTTTAGTAGAGACTGGGTTTCTCCGCGTTGGTCAGGCTGGTCTCGAACTTCTAACCTCAAGGGATCTGTTTGCCTCAGCCTCCCAAAGTACTGGGATTACAGGCATGAGCCACCATGCCCAGCCTCTGGTCAACCTTTTCTTCACCTCTAACTTACAAATAATCACTGTTCCACTTTGTAACACACTGGTTCTCAACCCTGTGTTAAAATCCTCTGGGTTGCTTTTAAAATATTGCTGAGGCCAGGCACAGTGTCTCATGCCTGTAATCCCAGCACTTTGCGAGGCTGAGGCGGGTGGATCACACGGTCAGGAGTTTGAGACCAGCTTGACCAACATGATGAAACCCTGTCTCTACTAAAAATACAAAAACTAGCCAGGCATGGTGGCGTGGGCCTGTAATCCCAGCTACTCAGGAGGCTGAGGCAGGAGAATTGCTTGAACCTGGAGGCAGAGATCGCGCCACTGCACTCCAGCCTGGGTGACAGAGTGAGATTCCATCTCAAAAACAAAAACAAGGCAGGGCCCGGTGGCTCACGCCTGTAATCCTAGCACTTTGGGAGGCCGAGGTGGGTGGATCACCTGAGGTCAGGAGTTCAAGACCAGCCTGGCCATCATGGTGAAACCCCATCTTAAAAACAAAAACAAACAACAACAACAAAAAAAAACAAAAAGAAAACATTGCTGAACCAGGTCCCCATCCCCAAGAGATTCTGGTTTAAATGGTCTGGGGTGGGGACCAAGCCTTAGTCACCAAGCCCTGTAAAAACTTTCAGGGAACATCTGATGTTTATATGGTCCAAAGCCAAGTTCTAACCCATCCCTACCCCAACCCTTCAAAAATCACTTCAATGACGTCAGAACAACATCTGGCATACTAAACTTCACCCCATATCAAGTCTTCCCGGGATCATCATCTTTTCCTTTTCCTTCTAAGAGGTGGAAGTCTTCTGCCTCTACTCCAAGAACTATCCCCTTAGGAGCACATTTTTCAATCTCAAATCTCTGATCTCTTCTGTGCCCTTTCATTAAGTCACCTTATCTCCCTCCTGAAAATTCTTGTACCATCACATGCCTCCTCTCCTCTAATTTCCACAGTCCGTGAACACCAAGAACAAACACCTCATCTGCTTTGTCTCTGTATACCAAGCACATAGCACAGTCCAAAGCTCTGGGTAGGCAAATCAAGAAAAGGCTGTTTATTCTTGATTCATCCAGTCCATTATTTTCACCTCTGGTGAACTAGATTCAATCCCAATCACTGTCAAGGTGTTCTCTGAAAGTTCACTAAGGACCCAATTCCCCGATCTCGGTTGTGAATCACCGATAGGCTCTGGAAGAGTGAAGTTTCCTTATCTTTGTATTCCCAGGGTGCTTAGTGAGGTAGCTTCCACACAGTAATCAGCCATTAAAGGTCTGCCAACTTGATCAAGAAGGAAAATATGAATCGAGAGGAAAGAATAGAGGGTCAGTCACTCATCTGTAGGTCACAAATATTTTCTGAAATAAAAGGACCAAAAAGAAAATTTGGAGCCTTTTATCGCTATCGTTCCCAGATTCTACAATTTCCACAGCAAACTGTTCATTTAAAGGAGAAGTGCAAATATCTCACCAAATTATCTTGGCCACAGGTGAGCATGGGGGAGGGGGACTCTCTTACTATGGGATGAAATCAATAGCACTTAAAACACATTAGGCTTTAGCCGCCAACCGTGCGCCAGAAAGGAGGCTGGTAACTTGCAGAATGCACCCCAACAAAATCCTTCCCCGCCTTCTATTTTCCAGCGGCCCAAGTGAGAGGTGGAAAGGTCCGCACCCTGCGGGCCGGCTGCGACCGGAAAACAGAGCCGCCGGGCACCCCAAGAGCGTGCGTGAGTGCGCCGGGCAAGGCCCCTTCAGAGCCGGGCTCCCAGGGCGCTAAGCTGGCGGGCGAGTAGTCCGGAACCCCCCGGCTGCACACGCCCGCCAGGAGCCGCAGCTCCGGGAGCCTGGCAGTGCGGCCGCGGGCCGCAGCCGGAAACGCGTGGGGTGCCGGGCCGCACCGCCGCGGGGGAAAGACACGAGGAGGAGGTGAAGACCCGAACGGGCAGAGACCACTAGAGGCCCCAGGTCGCCGCTGCGCCGGGGCCCGTAAGAGACGGTCACGTGACACCGACCTGCTGGTCCCACCGCTGCTTCGCATGTACGCCGGCCACTGTGGCCGCCGTTAGCAGCACCGACAGGCCCAGCACCACCTTCGAGGTCCTCGACATCCCCGCGCTGGCCGCCGCGGCCTCTTTCTCCCGCCCGCCTGAGGCGCGGGGGCCGCCGCAGATTGCGCGCCGCCGCCGCCGGTTCGGCCCAGGCTCGATCCCTCGAGCGCAGAGCCCCGGTCGCCGCGTGCGCCGCCCGCCGCCGCCAGGCGCGAGCAATCGAGAGCCGAGCACCGAGCGGCGCCCAGGCACTGCGGATTCTTGGCTTCACTCGGGGCACACCCCGCAGGCAACGGCGTGAGACCACCCCCAATTAAAATGTTAGGAGTCAAGGCCCAAGCTGGCCCCAGCACCTTACCAAGGTGGAGGGTAGGGGTTCCATGCCTGAGCCAGCTCAGTACCAACCAAACCCCGGCTGCGGGGGACGGCCTGAGGGGTCTGGGGTTCCCACGGGAGTACCGTGCTGACCCCTCTCCCACAGACGTCCCTTCTGAGCGCCTGACTGATGCAGACGCGTTGCCCAATACCGGCTTCACCTAAACGCAGCCCCTCATTGCTCCTTTGGCGGGTCAGGTTCCCCCAGGAGACCGCCTCGTTGGGCAGGTTCGGAGGCGCGGGATTTCGATCTGTGGAGTTTTTCCCTGAGGACCCGTTGTTAAACGCTGTAGTCGCGGTTACCTGCTTTCCTCTTGACGCTGTGGGGAGACTGGTCAGGCTCTGATCTTTTTTATTTTTTTGATACAGAGTCTCTCTGTCGCCCAAGCTGGAGTGCAATGGCGCGATCTCGGCTCACTGCAACCTTCTCAGATTCAAGCGATTCTCCTCCCTCAGCCTCCAGAGGGGATTACAGCCGTGAGCCACGGCGCCCTGCCGCCCATATAATCTTTGTGATGATCCTTTTTTTTTTTTAAGACGGAGTTTCGCTCTTGTTACCCAGGCTGGAGTGCAATGGCGCGATCTCGGCTCACCGCAACCTCCGCCTCCTGGGTTCAGGCAATTCTCCTGCCTCAGTCTCCCGTGTAGCTGGGATTACAGGCACGTGCCACCATGCCCAGCTAATTTTTTGTATTTTTAGTAGAGACGGGTTTCACCAAGTTGACCAGGATGGTCTCGATCTCTTGACCTCGTGATCCACCCGCCTCAGCCTCCCAAAGTGCTGGGATTACAGGCTTGAGCCACCGCGCTCGGCTCTTTGTGATCCCTTTTACACCGAGTTTCCGTGCCAGTAATACAGGATTCCTTATGCCCACATTACTAGTGAAATAAATGATAGAATGAAGTCTTTTTCGTTGGGAGTAAGTTAAGCAATTGTGCAAGACACATTTTCACTTCTTCCTTGGGTAAAAGCGGCAAGGCCTCCCAGAAACTTTAAGTATCTGATAGAGCAGCCAATGAAGAAGTGTTCATCATTCAATCATTCTTTCCCACGAGAATTCACAGAGAATGAGCTTCTTCCGGTGGACAAGGCTATAGACAGTATTGATTAAGCTTCACTAGGGACTTTTGCAACATTCCTCACTGTTCATAGCACTTTGCTATTCCAGTCTCATGTGAGTGTAAATGGCTTCAGATGGCTATTGCTCTCAAGAAATGTAGTGCTCTTGGCCGGGCGCATTGGCTCACGCCTGTAATCCCAGAACTTTGGGAGGCAGAGGTGGGTGGATCAAGCGAGGTCAGGAGTTCGAGAGCCGCCTGGCCAACATGATGAAACTCCGTCTTTACTAAAAATACAAAAATTAGCCACGTGTGGCGGCGTGTGCCTGTAATCCCAGCTACCCAGGAGGCTGAGGCAGAATTGCTTGAACCCGGGAGGCCGAGGCTACAGTAAGCTGAGATGGGGCCACTGTACTCCAGCTCGGGTGACAGAGCAAGACTCCGTCTCAAAAGAAAGGTGTAGTGGCTCATGCCTGTAATCCAAGCACTTTGGAGGCCAAGGCAGGCAGATCATCTGAGGTCGGGAGTTCAAGACCAGCCTGACCAACATGGTGAAACCCTGTCTTTATTTAAAAAAAAAAAAAGAAAGAAAGAAAGGAAAAGAAATCTAATACTTTTTTTAAAAGAAAGAAAAAGAAAATACCTTTTTAAAACGTCATTTTGTCCACAGCATTTTTTACAGCTTAGAGAGAATGTACCACTGAATTGGAAAATGGTGTTCTTGCTGTAATGAACCTTGGAGTGAGAAGAAATTCAATCCAGGGTATATTTGCATATTTCTCTTAAAACAATAAAATTATACTAGACTTATTTTTATTTGTGGTATATCCTAAATATTTTTTCCCTGTAAATCAGTGAGCCTTCAACAGAGCTGTATGTCTTTAGAATGTACATCAGGGAGTTAGATCAATCGTCTTTCATTTTATTGTGTCTAGTTTTTCTACTTGTTTTCTTGAAATACACTTTCTTTTTTTTTTTTTCCTTTTTCTTTTTTTTTTTCAGGATTCCAGAAGTGGAAAAGAAAAAAAAAGTATTCCACTTTTAAGAAATCATTTATTGTTAACTGTGTCAAATAAAAAAGCGGGTTGGGGGACTGAGGAAGGTCATGTAAAAAAAAAAGCAGGTTTATCTGTTTCAGTGTTTATAAACCTAAGCAGTATATTTTCTGTGATTATTGTCACATAAATTACTGATTTGTGAAAGTGACTGCATATCATCTAACTGAGCAGCAACAATTTTTTTCTTTTTAATTGAGATAGGGTCTCACTCTGTCACCCAGGCTGGAATGCCATGGCGTGATCTCACTGCAACATTTGCCTCCCAGGTTCAAGAGATTCTTGTGCCTCAGCCTCTGGAGTAGTTGGGATTACAGGCCTGAGCCACCATGCCCAGCTAATTTTTGTATTTTTAGTAGAGACAGGGTTTCACCATGTTGGCCAGGCTGATCTAGAACTCCTGACCTCAATTGATCTACCTGCCTCAGCCTCCCAAAGTGCTGGCATTACAAGCATGAGCCACCTTGCTGGCCATGAATACGTTTTCAAAAAGAAAAGTTCAGACTTGCTGATCACCTCTTTTCAGGTGTTGATTACATTCATTCTTTCAACAAATCTTGAATGTGTCAGAACAGTGTATTCAAGGTATCCCTTCCTGCATCCCTCCGGCATACACAACTATCACAGCAAAAAAGAGAAGATAGTTGACAACGAAGTAAATGTTGTCAACTATCAATTGTGTAAGGTATATACAATTATCACAGCAAAAAAGGGGAGATAGTTGACAGGAAGTAAATGTTATATTTGTATCCCCACAAATTCCTATGTTGAAACCCTAACCCCCAAGGGAATCTATTGGAAGGTGGGGCATTTGGGAAGTAATCAGGGTTAGATGAGGCCATGAAGGTGGAGCCCCCATGATGGGATTAGTACCCTCATAAGAAGAGAAAGAGACTAGTGCTCACTCTCTACCGTGTGAGGACACAGCTGGAAGATCGTGTGTGCAAACCAGGAGGAGGGTCCTTACCAGAACCCAATCATGCCAGTACTGTGATCTTGGACTTCCCAGCCTCCCAAACTGTGAGAATTAAATTGTTGTTTAAACCATGTAGTCTCTGGTATTTTTGTTACAGCAGCCCAAACTGACTAAAAGAGCAATTAACTGTTCCCCAAAGTTAAGTGTGGGTGTGGGTCTACCCCAACCGAGGAGAAGATTCCAGATTCAGTTATCTGTCAGAAACTTCCAGCAACTCTCCTCCAGAAACTGAGTCCTGGTTGTCTTGAATTCCTCCCTCACTTCCTCTCTGTGCTGAATTGTCACTAATGCTCAGTAAATGAAAAAGTCTTGCTTAGCCTTGGTGACTCCCAGTGACAGGCACACCTGAAAAAAATCACAGAGGTAAGTACAGGTAGGATTTCCAGTAAAAGGCAGAAGACAAAATTAAGGCCCTCTCCTCAACAGGGAGAGTTAAAAAAAAAAAAAATCACTTCATGTTAGCAAACAGCACACTGAGGCACAGGGCACATTTTAAAGCTGTTTATTATATCAAATTATGTCATCTTCAAGATGACCCTATGCCATAGGTGCTGTTAGTATCTCAATTTTACAGGTGTGAAAGTGAAAGCGCATTTTGTAATGTGTCCACAGCTAGAAAGTTACAGAGCTGGGCAACCTAACTGGTTTTTAGTTTTGTTTTTGAAAGATTAAATTCACCTGGTTTAATAAAAGTTTAAGACACGTAACATGTCTTTAGTTAATAACTACAAGGGGAATGTGCAATATATCTAGAATGTTCCACTTACATATTTTAGCTTCTTAGAAAAATGGGAGGAGATAGGGCAAGAAGGGAGAGAAGTGAATAGACACACAGATGAGAGGGCAGAGGGATAAATACAACAGAAACCCGCAGAGTCAGTTGCCAGGTACGTTAACAGTAGTGACTACTGTTAACAGTAGTTAAAAGGTGAACCGTAGTGTTCACCCTTGTGAACACTTGAATTTGAAAAGGGGTCTGAGAGACAAACTCTTTGAAATTCTGTTTTCAAATCTTCCATTCCTCCCTTCGGGCAGAGGAGTGGCTGTCACCCTCCCGCAAGATGCTACTGGAAGCTGGCCTCTGTGAACAGAGTTCTGCAACAGAAAGTGGTGGGAAGTAGGGCTCTGCCTTCATGCAGTAGCTCCCTTGCTGCTCGATTTGGGGACAGTCTCTTACTTTGCTGGGCCTCAGTTTCCTCCTCTGTACTATGGAGATAATAACAAGTCTTCTACCTCATTGCTGTACTAGTTGAGAGGATTAGTTAATAGTATGGCATTACCAAAGTCAGCCATCTGGTGATCATGCATGCTGAGGCACTCCAGCCAGTGACCTCCAGTGGTCCCCTGTGAGTCCTAAGACCTGGACGCTCTTGGTGGCCCTGAAGGGTGAAGAGGGAAGAAGGCAGAGGGAGGTGTGGAATCCTTGTCTTTACATGTTTGGAAAATGTCGGTTTGCAGCTGAGTGGAAACCCGGTGACATCCCAGGTGACAGCAGCACTTCTAACAGTACAGCAAGTACAGCCCAAGCTGTGAATTAGAGCTTCATTGTTTCACAATATTTGGTGTGACTAAGTTCTTTTAGATTCAGAATTCACTTACATTATCAGAAAAAAAATATGTTAATATTGTATTGCCATTATGAATAGCAGAAAAGAGCTGTCAGATCCTTTGAATACCATTTCAGCTGCTACAAATGT